ATATTTAATGTGGGGATTAGTCTTGTGTTAAGACTATGCTGTTGTTACCAGTCACTTTTCAGGGACTTACTCAGAGAATATTTACTGTCATGACAATTTAACATGGCTGGGGAAACTGTTTATTGAGATGATGCAGCAAGTAAATGTTGAGGTCAAAGTGTTTGACTACAGCAAGCTGAGTCTTTTAGCTGGTAGGCAAGTAGCTGTTCTTTTCAGAAGTACTTAATGTTCTACAACATCTGGCACATCTTTGGTCTGGCTTTGACTGGAAAATGTCCCAGGGCAAAGCTCCAAATTGTGGGCTCTTAAAAGTAATACAATGTACAGATCCTCCTCCTTTTATCTCCCCTGAACTCCAGTGTGCAGCCTACGTGTTATTTGTATTTTATGGTTCAGGTGACTTCAGTATTAACTCTTGCACAAAAAGAGCAATTATATTCCAAAGATATGTGCCAGTATCATGCTTTCCCCTGCCTTGGGAGGGCAGCTAAGTAGCTTTTTTGCAGCTGTCTCTAGCTATTACTTTACATTTTCCCTCCAATTTTGTTTCAGGCTGCACTGACAACCAAGAGATCTTTACTAGTAATGCTGTGGTTAGATCTGGTACTCGTAAGTCTGGTACAGGCCCCATGAGTGTATTTGAAGAGGCGGCATAGATATCATTTGTTCATTCAACATCCTGGTGCCCCCAAACTTTGAAAGTAAAATTTGGCCACATTTGTGTCAATGGAAAAGCTGTTGATTTCAGTGAGGCCAGGAGTCCACCCCAGTATTCATGGTGAATAGGAACTGGACATTATTTTAGGGTTATACCTAGGATAGGTGCCAAGGCTTGGCTGGAACAAAACAAGTATTGATCTGCAGGAATGTAATAATTTCAGCAATTCTTACATGCTGCTAATGAATTTCAGAAACCAGTACTTAGGTGGGGCTGGTAGAACAACTACCTATGGTTAAGGTTGCACAATGTTTCCCATTACTAGATCTTGCTTTCGGTTGCTTATAATTTTGCCTACCTTGGAATTGTTCTGGTTGAAATTCTCCATGCTGGCTGTCTTCCCCTGCCCAAATATTGGCTGCAAAAATGGTTCAACTATTTCCAAAAATGAAGTCACAGAAAAAATCACAGACTTTGGACTAGATTGAAAGAAAACCTTGTAAGGTTTTCATGTTGGAGCAAAGGCTTGGAACGTGGTGAATAGGGTTGTCCTGCTACCAGACATGTGACTTTTGCTGTTTTCACGAGGGGAAAAAAATCAACCTCCCCCCCACCCAAATCTGGCCAAGTTCAAATGATCTGAAATATCTCAGGTTTCACCTGCTCAGTAGAGACTTCAGTTTGCCAACAAGTATTTCCTAAAGATCCTGGCTGTACTGAGCCTGATCCAGTTTGAGGGTGCAGGGGCCATGCTATTGCTTTCCCCTGCAGCTCCCAGCTGTCATGCTCTTTTGTGCTCTCAATACTCCTGCTGCTGGTGCCCAAACATTGTGGAAGAGGAAGCAGCCTGACTCAAATTTAGAGAGGACAAAAATGGGAAGCTAAGTAAGGAAGGGGCGCGGGGGTTGTAATGGAAATAGTAGACCGAGACAGGGAAGTCTAGAAGCAAGTCTGGGTGTGGAGCAGGAGGGGCAGAGTAGATGAAGGGCAAAAGAAGAAGGCTGGGATTTGGTGGGAAAGAAGACCAGGACAAGAAGCCTAATGGGTGGGGAGGATGAGACAAAACAGGACTGGTTAACAGCAGAAGGGGTCAGATTTTGGGAGAATAGGAACAGGAGGACAGGATTCTACTAAAGTACAAGTAGAATGGGCCCCAGGATTCAGGAATCTCAACATCGGTCAATAAATGTCTGTGCACAGCCCGTAGGTCCCCTTCTGGTGGCTGGTATACAGAGGAGAACAGCCTCCCATTGTTGACTGTTATACCCTTAGTTCAAGGGCCAGAGGATGGTGTAGGGGATCTAAAGGTTTCAGACTCGCTGATCCCATCCTACGGGTCGTTAAGGTTCCACAGGATGACGTTTTCCATTCTTTTTCTGTACTTAAAAACCCCCCAAACTTAGGGAATTGCATACAACACTAGCACAAAACCATACTAAGCTTGCAGTCAAGGAGTTAGGAAATCCCAAAATTCCAGTTGTCCATGCAATCTTGATATGGCCTCTTATGTGTATCCATTATTATAATGTATTTAATTACTTGATCTCATCCTATTTTTCCTATCCTATCCCTCCCTGAAACGGCATGGGCATAAAACTATTCTCTGTGGCCACAGAGGATAAGGACAGGTACAATGGGCTCAAGAGCTTTCTGACTAGGAGGGTGGTCCAGCGCTGGAACAGATTACTTAGACCAATTGTGGAATCTCTGTCCCTGGAAATTTTCAAGAGCAGGTTAGACAGACACTTGGCTGGAGTGGTTTAGTCAGAGTCATTTCAGCCTTGAGCAACCGGCTGGACTAGATGTCTTTGTGAGGTCCCTCCCAGCTCTCCTGTGATCCTTCCTCACTCAGTATACAGGAGAGGCAGCGTCCTGAGAATAAATCAGGGTTGGGCAGTGAAGATGCTTATTGACGGGACATTTGTCTCAAAGGCCAAAAGATGTGTACGGAAAATGGTAACTAGAGAAAAGATGGTTTTGTAGTTAAGTGCTGCTCTCCTGCAGCAATTAATTCCCCCTTCCGTAGACTTCCCCTTCCTTGCTGCTAGGCAAGTCATTTAGACCTAGTGCATCATAGATGACCATTAATCATGTGTCTGTATTTTCTGGATGCCTCATACCCACTGGAGTCTGATCTGCCGGAAGGCTGAGCACTCACATCTGCAGATGAAATCAAACCGTATGTTCATATGCTTTGAATATATGAAGTGCTTCTAATCCCTGGAAACCCAGCTTCTAGGCATCTCAGATCAGGCACCCAGGATCTGTGGATACTTTGGTTCTTAATCTCTCTCTGCCTCAGTCTCCCATCTGTGAAATGGAGTTATTACTGTCCCCTCATCACATTGGGGTGGTAGGGGCAGATCCAGGGGGATGCATTGGGGCACTTGCACCCTCCTTGGATTCCTGTTCCACCTAAAGTTTGAAAGCAATTGCCCGGCAGCAGCATTTCTAGCTGGGCCGTGCTGAAGGATGATGGCAACCTCGTGGAGTTTAGACTACGGATTGTACCCCATGGTTTGGATGGGGAAGATCCTGCCTCAGGCATGGGGTTGCACTAGACGACCTCTGCAGCTTTCTTCCAGCCCCAGTTCTCTAGGCTCCTCCGACTCTGGGGCTCATTATCATCTACCCCAGTGGTTCCCAATCCGTCGTACACGTACCCCCAGTGGTGTGCAGACAACCTGCCAGTGTTATGCATTCACAATTTTATTATAATTACTTTGTATGACAAAAACTTGCTGGTGGTACTTATGGTTGCATCATTTTAAATTGGGGGCGTGCAACCTGTCAGAGTCTGGGAACGAATCCCTGCGAAACCCTTCATCCCACAGGTGTTAACGACCCTCCCTTCTTTACAACGCTCTCGGCCTCGCTCCAGTCACCCGGCCCTTGGCTCTGCCCTGCTGCTCCTGGTATCAAAGCTCCTATTCCGCAGCCCGGCAGACGGATTTTGCTGTTTTTTCACCCACAAAGCTAGATTTGTTCTGGCCTCCGAGATGCTCCTAACACAACCAGTTTCTTTTTTGAACATGAGCACGAACGACGCGTGGCCCCGGAGTTGGGAGAGGGGCATGGCAACTGCCGCAACTGGCGGCCGTGGCTAGCAGGGAGCTCCCACAGGCGGTCGTGGCAGTGGCAGTGGCAGCAAGCGGGGAGCGGTTGCAGGTGGTCGTGGCGGTGGCGAGCGGGTTGGTGGCAGCAAGCGGGGAGCTCTTGCAGGCGGTCATGGGGTGGGGAGGGAGGTGGCGAGCACCGGCCCGCGGGCAGCAGCCCCCACAGGCGCTGCGCGCCCAGCGCTGATGCATGAGGGCGCGGCGGGGCTGGCGGCGA